TCAAGTTGGTGCGGGTTTAGACAAGCTGCAGGCCCTGGAAGATGCTGTGCAGTCTTTCGTGCTTGTTTGTTAGGAAGCTAGGGAGCATCATGTTCTCCGAAGATTCCCTGCAGGGAGGCCAGGCCAGAGCGTTAGGAGCCAAGGCGGGGAAACCATTCGAGACTTGTACGACATTGTACGTGCAGGTTCCCCTGCGCTGAGATGGTCCCGGGCACGTTGCCTCCCCTGCGCACCTGCCTGCCGGGCAGCCTGGCCTGCCAGTTTCTGTGCCCGACGTGCCGTGCGCGTCCGTGCGAACGCCAAAGGCTGCGCAGGAAGCACCAGTGCGACGAGTGCCAATCTGCCACCGGCCATGCCGGTCGTCGCAACCACAGACGCTGAAGGCCTGTGGCCGTCCTGCGTGCCACCCACCGTGGGCTGCACGCCTCTCAAGTGACCCGTGGTCACCTTTTCCCCAGCGTGTGGGGTCAGCGACTTCACGTGCCGACCTGCAGCTTTCCACCGTGTGAGTTTAGCGTGCCCGCCTCACCTTTGCGGCCCCGTAGGTCAGGAGGATGGAGGGCCGAGCCGCTGCATTTGAAAAAGAACCCTTCTCGGCACTATTCGGCACTCGTAGTTGCGCGCTCGTAGCTGGGTCTGATGCGATTGTAGCCTGTCTGCTCGTAGCTTCCATTGATCTTTTGCGCTCGTAGCTGCCGCGAGTCTTGCTTGTAGCCCAGCAGGTCTGCGACTTGATGACTTTGATGCGCTTGTAGCCTGTCCTTTTGTTACCTCGTAGGTCCTTTGCCCCTCGTAGGTTTGCCTTTCCGCCCCTTTAGGTCTTGTCGTGACAGGTTGTGCCGCCAGCCGCTGTGTCTGTTCAAGTTCAAGCTTATTGTGTAGTTTTCGCCGTCCTTGCTCTGCACGTTGCCAGTCATGGATGCAAGCTTGGCGAGCTCTGTTGTGTCAGATGACACCATGAGTCTTGGAATGTTTCCAAGATGCAGAGCAGTGCCTCCGTGAGGGCGGATCGGCAGCATCAGCCGAAACCTGCGAGGCGGCGTCCGGCATTGGCCGGCGCTCTGAACCCTTGCAGCCGTGCTGCTTGGGTGCGACTGCGAGCCACCCCTTGGACCGGCCCGTGGCGCCAGCCGTAGAGTTGAAGGCCTCTGCAGCCGTTTCTGGGGCGTCCCCAGTCCAGCCCACGTTCGGGCCATCGCAGCAACAGCAAGCCAATGAGTCGGGCCGTGCCTCCAGCCGCCGCAAAAAGGCTGACAAACTGTCCTCCACCTCAGACTCTGGAGGCAGCAGCGTGCAACAGTCCCACGTTGGCTAGGCAGAGCTAGGGGGACACCCGACCCGCGTTCGTGGCCAAGAGATACAAGCAAGAGCCGCCAGACCGACGTTCGGACAGTGCGCGCCGTGCGCGCCAGGAGCTCCGTGGCCGCATCCGCAGGGCCTCAACGTTATGACATGCGGAACACCTGCAGTGTGAATGGGAAAGGCAAGCGCGACCAGAAACACTAGTTCTGCAGCGTCTGCAGGGCAGTTTACTGCCGTGACTGCTGCCGTGACTCGCGCCGGCGCGCCCAGCAGGCGGCAGCAGCAGCGGGCTGCTGGGGCCGTGCCCTTTTGCAAGCAGATGGCGCAAAGCCTCTGCCGAGCCGTGCTCGTTTCTTGCGTAGCCCCAGATACCTGTGCGATGTTCGCGTCTCGCGAGAAAAAGAGAGCCGCGTCGTATGCTTGGGCTTCCCTCGTAGGACCCTTGTCTGCTTGTAAGTTGGGCAGGCTTTGATCCCCACCTTGTTTTGCTACTCGTAGCCTCGTAGTCGCTCTGCATCCTATGCCAGACACTTCTCCCATGCTGCTTGTGTGTGCAGTGTGTGTTGACCGCTTGTAGTGTTGCATCGTATGCCATGATCAACACCGTATGTTTTACTAGCCGTTTTGTTCAGGCTTGTAGCTCTTTTAGCGCGACCTTGCGATTCCAAGCGCGCGCACTTTTGTATGAATGACCATTGGTCCTTCGTGCTCCCTCGTAGGCTGCTCCATGCGTGCTTGTATGTGCCCGCAGTCCTTTTTTAAACCATGGATAGTGCTGACAAGGTTTGGGCCCAGCTAAGTGCACCCAGCACATCCTTCCCGTGGGAGGATCTTTTCGATGGGTCGTGACTGTCTTTGCCGTCCACGTTGGACTGGACTTGTCCAGGCCGCCTCGCGTAGAGGTGCCGATCCAGCAAAGTGGTTTCTGCGAGGTTGGGCTCTGCTCCTGGAGCCTGACTGCCTCAGTGAGTACAACCCGGCTCCGCTACTACACGGGAAGCTGCCTGCCTGGTAGCAAGATGTCGTGTCGCCAGCCCTCTCTCGTCGCGGCTCCTCCTGCAGCGAGCGGTGGGAAGGAACGTATCTACGCCTCAGGGCCAGAGCATCTGCGGAGATGCAGGGCCCAGTCCAACTGTGCACAGCTTATCTCTCATGTCTGAGCTTGCTTTGCAAGTTCTTGCAGGGACTATGTGGAGGGTCAACAGCAGAGGAGGGGCAACATCAACAATCTTGTGCACAGAGGAAGGACCGCTGGGGCTCATTTCACGTTCCACCTTTCAGAAATAGGAGGTATTCTGCAACACGTCGCGTGGAAGGGATGCTGAACCACGAAAGCCGGAGGGCAGTACTTGGAGGTCCGCTGTACTTATAAACTACTTAGTAACTGTAGGTATAACCCAATCATATCTAAGGTAACTGTAGTTACGGGACGTATGCTTTGGTTATAACTACAGTTACTAAGCAGCTTATAAGTACAGAGGACCCCCAAGTACTGATGGGGGATGTGAGCGCCACCTTCCCAACCAGCGCAGGCATCGAGGAGGAACATGAAAGCTCGCTGCGCAACACAGCCAGAGGGAGCATGCTAATATCATGGATGCCAGACCAAGACTGTTACATGCCAAAAGCAGTCGCTAAACCTCCCTAGTTATTTTCCTCACACTGAGCAAATTAGGCCGAGAGGTTAGTTAGACTACGTCTGGACCACTAGGGAACGCAAGATCATCGCACTCCGGCACGTCGCCACCAGCGATCACGAATGCGTGGCAGTACTGTAGGTTGCGAGCAGATCTAACCATATCTAACCCGACGGCGCAGAGAGGTGAGAAGACGCACGCGCGGCCTGAGACAAAGCAGGCAGCCAGGGCAGGTACGCATCATCATGTATCAGTTCCAAGGAGGAGGAGACGTGTTACATGACCTCAAGGCAGTGACCTATGCGATCACTCACCCCCAGAGAAATTCCAGGGATTCCAGGGCTAATAAGGAGTCGGGTCACATTAAAAAGACCCCGCAGGGAGGCCAGACGAGCTCAACAGGGACAACAAGCACAAGAGAAGCCGAAGGCCATGTGGAGAGAAAAGGCCAAGGAAAGGGACGATTGGAAAAGGATTCAGACACTGCCAGCAGTGTTGAAGGGAGGTTGGGAAGCCTTAGGTTCAGCCAAAAGACCAAAGATGGTGCGAACATGGACTGGAAAATTGACACAAGTGGGAGACAACGATGAAGAAGCATTTCAAAAACATCTTTGCGAGGGATGAGGGAGAGAGAAAATGTGAAGAATTTGCCTGGGGACCTTTCACCTGTGGAGGCCAGAGAAGGATGGAAAGCAGGAAAGGCAATGGGCCCAGACAGAGTTAGTCAAGAAGGCATCAGGGCGTGGGTGGTTGCGACAAAGAGTGGGAACACACGATCCACCTAGCCAAACAGCCGGCAGAGCGGTGGAGCTCGTGCATCGTGGCATCGGTTTGGAGATGATGGGGCCGCATCGCGCGTCGTGAGTCCCATGCGAATGACGCTTTGGGATGGAGGGATAAGGCCTGGTGGCGTTGAGAACAAGCGGGCCCGGCGGATCCGAAAGGCATGAGACACCAAGGACGATTCAATCGCACCCCTGAAACAGAACGCATGCTGCGCAACGTGGCACCCAGCTGGAGGGAGCAAGCGCAGGACAGACAGAAGTGGCAAGAGGCGGAGGAGATTTTCGTCCACAAGCACGGCGGAGGAGATTTTCGTCCACAAGCACGACCTCCCCAGGTCGACCGGCAGACAAGTGTCCCTAAAAACCTAATTAGCCCCAAACTAGACCCGAGCGAGAAAGGTTGCATACAACTAGGAGATGAGCAACACTGAGCGAATGAAACCACTTTAGTGAGAGTGGAGGACGGGCCAGCCAACACAACTACAAGAGGCCAGAAAAGGAAAGATCCAGGGTGAAGCAACAACACACAGGAGTACAGCTCCAGCGGAGTCCGGCAGTCCACAGAAGCGTTGCCCATCCTTAACAATGGCCGGGGGGGGGGGAGGTAAGCCGCTTTTCGGCCGGCCATTTTCAGCAGAACTTGCATGAGGGGGTTTAAAGGCCCCCAAAAATGGCCTGCGGCACCTGGGGAGGTCTTTTACGCCATTATTTTGTTTCTTCAAGAACCTTTTTCGTTGACATCGTAAAATGGCCGAGTAAGGGGAGGGGAGGTTGAATGGCCAGATCCCTGGTAGTTTCTCTAGGAGGCGAGTAGGCCGGGCCACCTCCCTTGAGGGATGGCTGACAGAGACAACAAAGCTGATACAAGTCCCGGAAGACGATCCAATGATACTGCGGTCGACGGAGCTGCTCCTCAAATTACAAGTGAAGTAAGGGCACTTAAATGTACAGAAGGAGAGCATATTTCAGAACGTAGTGGGGTCCATGGAGGCGGGCCCCAATTATTGATAATTATGCTGTTGCTTCATTGTTAGTTACCCCAGGGGGCAGCAATTGCTTGTGCAAAATGAAAACGGTAACGCAGACCAGTGAAACTGATAGTGAAAGTATGATGTACCTGCTAGATATTGATAGATGCTGGATCATGTAGTCGCACGGAGGTGGTTCACCAAATGTTGTGCTGCTGTAAGAAGGTCTCTCTATATGCTGATGACGACGGCTGCAGTTACACGACGCAGAGAGGGCTTGTTGATTGCAGCCTTGGTACGCGTGTCAGGACGATAACATCATCTTGGCGCAGGGTGTAGAGAGATACCTACAGGACATGCGCTTTCAAAGGCAGACTTTGTCTAAGTTTGCTGCATCACAGACTTGTCAGGAAGTGAAGGACAGACCGAACCGCCAGGGGCTTTCTCAACCACGAGTGTGGTGCATTGAGAAATCGAGGCTAGACTTGTCACCATGAGTCTGCATGTTCAATGCCTATGGAAGACTTGATGTGACATAGCTCTGCAGCGTTGTGAGATCTTCCAGGCACTGCTTTCACAAGCTGACTCATCCGGACGAATACAGGACACTTGAGTGTTCGAAGTTGTTTTAAAACTATAGTGAGCTCAAACAGCATCAGGCAGCCTGCCAGCGCTTCAAGCAAAACATGTCGGAAATCAGGCATTGTCCATGTACGGAATGCAAGTTCCAGCTAATTAATTGAGAAACAGAATCTAGGCCAGCTGGCACTTGCACGAGGACTTGCATCGAATTGTTTGCTTCCAGCACAATGGCATGAATGCTTGCTGGCACTTCAGAGGCACCTCCAGGAAGTGCCTCGCCTGCACTGGGCTCGCTTTCTTTGGCTGACGACTCTCGAGCACATGGCCTGCAATCGTCAGCCATGCTGTGTTCGACCCAAAACCAAACTGCTTTTTGCTTGGCCCGTGGTCGCCCATTCGAGGCAAGTGCTGCTGGAGCGGTGATCATCCTAGCTGGCCAGAGCAGAAAAGTTTTCAGTTCACTTGGAAGCACCTTTTCGTCCGTGGCACGCGGAATTGAACTTGCAAGACATTGTAGATTCTACCACAGAGGCAAATTGCGTTACAGCCAGCTGGCTGTGAACGGCATGGTTTGCACATGTTCTGAAGCTTAAGTCGGCGTGACGCAGATCTATGTAGCCTGCGCCGAAGAGTCAGCTTCCGAAGGCGAAGAAGCTTTTGTGATCATGCCTTCATATCTCTAAAGAGGATTTGCAGGCAACACGGTCAGCCGAAGAAGGTAAGAATATCCTTGACATCTCGTGTTCGATGTCCTATGGGGTCACGTTTTCGTGCCAGTTGCAGCTAATCCTTGTCATTAAAAAGATCCAACGTGAGAATCTGCAACAAAAAAGAAGCTCAAAGTCGGCAAGACGACAGAAACAAAGAACCAAGCAAAAAAAAAGAAAGACAGCAGGGAATAATCGTGGTACGCAGGAAGAGCACAAGTCAGGAAGCAGATTTGGGGAGGACATGCAGAAAGTGTATTCTTTTTCTGTTCTGGAAGTGCACAGCTCTCAGGCCCCAGCTGTTATACAAAACATGACTTCCAGCATGGCCCTGCATGAGCTCTCCTGAATCTTTCAATGTTTTCCTTCCTTGCGCAATTCCAATTTGAGGGGTCTACTCCCAGTCCCAACTCGCCAGCAGAAGCTGCCAACATCTTATATGCTTTCCTCGTCCTCAAGTGCGCACACCGGGCCCCTCAACCTCAAAGAGGGTCGACTTCGACGACCTCCCGGAATGGATGATCTTCATCAATTTGCACATGTTCCCCGCTTTGCCGACGTTGGGCAAGCAGCCGGCTATGGCCCTACCTCAGCCGAACTCTCCTGTATTCAAAATGTTGTCACAGCTGCATCCCACGAGAGGACCTCCTGCGACTGTTATCATGTTTAAGTCTGGAAGACTGCAATCTCATTGCATTCCCGGAGCATGAAGGTTTGGGGTCCTCTCCTCAGAAGAGAGGAGGAACGTGCAGGCGGGCCATCCAAACATGAGGATGCGTATCAGTCTGGCCAGCTTGCAGAGGTCCCAAGTTCCTAAGGTGATGGACTTTCAAATCTGCATAACTTTCGACATCCAATTTACTGTTCTGCAAAACGCTGCTGCCTTAACGTCATGAGAATCTAGAAGCAATCAGTCGACCGCGAATATCTGCAAACAAGCTCACGGCACAGAAAGCGAGAAGCACGGCAAGCGCACTGATCGGCGTTACCCGTTCCGAGCCCCGAGACAGAGACCAGTGGCCACCCAAGCATGCTCATGATGCTGGCCCAGGCCCCCCAAAGACACACAAAAATCTGGCCTGGAAAACCTCGATATTGGTTTTGTCTAACTCCGGCAAACGCACTGAGCTGCATGACCCGCTCTGAGCCCCCAGAATGGGACCAGCAGGAGAGACGGCCGCTCATAACTAACCCCGTATGCATGCAAGTCCTTCCGTCAACCCCCCCGGCTCCCCCCCCCTTAAACAATAAGCTGGCTTTTTGTCACCTCGATATCGATGGCGTCTAGCTCCGGTAAGCGCGCGCAGCTGTATGATCTGCTCCGAGCCCCGAAAAGGAGAGATACGGCCGCCCAATCATGCTTACGTACTAGCGCCTGCGGCTGTTTCCCAACCAGTTCACCTCTCGTGCCGATTGAGCTGTGCCCTAAACCCTGAACCTTAAATCGTAGGCCAGCAGGAGAAACGGTCTCCCACGGATGGTCATAATGCTGAAGGAGACTAGCAGGAGAAACGACCGCCCAATGATGCTGCCACCAAAGACGGCCACCCAATCATGCTTGTGATGCTCGCGGGCCTTTCAAAAGCATGCAAACCTGCCTTCCGCAGGCCCCGGGCACCCATGCTGCCCCCGCCTGTTCTCCCCCTCCTGCCAGAAAGAGCCAATGGAACTCGCAAGGAGTCGTGCATCCAACCCTCATGAACCCCGCCAGGCCTGGCCCAGCAGACGCGGGCAGCCAGACGAGGGGGGGGAAGCTGACTGGCGCCCGATATGCTGCATGCAAATCGGGCGGTCCCCCAGCCCCCCCCCCCCCCTCCC